TGAGGGAGATCCCTCAAGGCCTCTGAGGACACATTGCTTCCTGTTGTCACTTCTTTCCGGTTCCATTGATTTCACCTTTCCTTTCCTCAGAAGTCCATGCAAGTGTGACAAATGACTAGGAAATGGGACCAGAAGACTTGCGTTTTAGTCTGAGCTCTTTTGCATTTCGGTATAGGACCTCAAACAGGTTGCATAAGCTTTGCAAGTCTCAGATTGTTCATCTATGAAATGGAGATTAAAAGGCTCATATCACACAGAGTTTTGTGAGAATTAAGTGAGATAATGGACATTAAAGTGGTTTGTGAACTATAAAGTGTTCTGCATATTTGAGGAAGGAACATTATTGAGCCAAGGAGGAGTATAGCCCTGTAAAGATCACGCTCATCCTGAGACGTATTCTTGAGATAAAAAAAATTGGGATACCGTCCTAGATCCTCCTCTCTGACGAGCCCCCATTACAGCTTTGCAAGGCAGTGACTTAAGAAATAGGTGAGGCCTTATGTGCAGTGTAGCTGGTAGAGCAATCCTTACCCTCACCTTGTTCTTTTTTTCCTCTCTACTCAACATTATGACATCACCTCCCTTCCTGGCTGTCATTAATGGATATTTCATCCTGGTTTCACCTGGACTGAAAGACTGGGGAAGAGCAACATTTTTATGTGTTCCAAGTCCAGGGTGGATAGGTTAGCCTTATACATTCTTAGCCCTATGTTAGAGGAAACTTCTCTGAGTTTGGTTCACTTTGTGGGATTTTAATTACCCTTGGAGAGGTTATGAATTTAGGTAGATCTCATTATCCTGTATTTCCAGGAACCCTGTCTCAGAGCTTAACTAGCTTAGTTTCTTCTCTCCCTCTCTCCTTCCCTCCCTCCCTCCCTTCTTCCCTTACTCCCTCCTTCCCTTTGATATTAGGATAATAGGAATAGATATTAGGGTAACTTACTAATTTGAATACCATTAAATGGCCAGGTTTGTTTAAGTATTAGCATTAACCTGTAAGGCTTTTGACTGTTGAAAAGTCAAAATAATAAGGACACCTTATTCATGCCCTTCTCTTTTTATTCCCCAGAAGCTGGTACAGATAATAGGTGCCTAGTAAGCATCCACTGAATGAATAGTGACTAGTAACGATCAACACTTTTCAGGGTATAAAATGTGTTGTGAACCCTTTAGAGATACTCTCATTTAAAGTTCACAGTGGCCCTATGAGTAGATAATGTCATTCACATTTTATAGATGATAGAACTGAATGGCGGGCACTTAGATTTATCCAAAATCATGCAGTGACAAAATGTATGGATTGAACTTAGGTTAGTATTGCTCTAAAGCCCATACATCTTGTGCTATATTTATGCACCTTAAAATTACTGTCTTCTGGTCTTAATATAAGTAGTTCCTTAGATTGTGTAGCATCTAACAAAGGTAAAATGGTGCTAGAGCAGGAGCTGTGGAAAATCTATATTTAAGAAAGAGGAAGTGTCTGGCATGGAGATGAGATCCTTTTTCTCTTCTTGAAATCTCATTCTATTAAATTTCTACTCAACTTTCTTGAAAATAACCAATATTTACCCAATACTTATGTGCCAGGCTGTGATTAGTGCTTTACATGTGTTTAATTCTCACAGCCACCCCACGAAGCTGATACTATTGTTTTTCCTAATTTTTAGATAAACAAATTATGACACAGAGAGAGTAAGCAGCAGCTTGTCCATGGTCGCACAGCACATCCTGGCTTAGATGTACACCTAGGTCTATCTGACTCCAGAGTGCATTTTCTTAATCACTTCATGGTACTGTTTTTCACTTTTCGTGCCTTTATAGTCAGAACCAGCAGTTACATATTAGTTTGTTTGTGACTGTTGATAATCCCTACCAAATTGTAAACTCCTTGGGAGTTGGGCACCTTGCCTTTAACATCTGTATTTCCCCATACTGTTCAGATAGTGTTCAATAGGTGCTCATTTAATACTTGTCAGGCAATTCTCAGACTCAGCTAGCTGATCAGTTAGTCCCTCTCTAGCACTAAGAATTAAGAGATACGATTGTTCACCCTTTCAGTGTTATCACTGGCAACAGCCCTTCTGTGCTGTAGCAGATATTTTTGTGTCCTGTGCCACATTCTCTTGATCCACCATGAATCTCAGCTGTAGCTGTGCTGGACAGTTCCCATGTAAGCTGACCACATCGTACCTGAAGAGCCATCCACTTCTCTCAGCTCTTCTGCCTCAGGACTGTTTTTGAAGTCCCTGAAGCTCTCTTAGTCCACTTTTTGGGCAGGACAGAACAGCATGGAGTTAATGACTCCAGTGGCAAACCTTAGCCAGTGGAAAATAGGATAAATGCCTCAGCCTCTTGTCCTTCAGAGGAAATTCTTAGGTGCATTCTCTGTGGTCTCTCAAGAATCAGTCCCCAGATTCATTGAGCATCAGTTGCCCGCAGTGGTTATCAGCACCCCCTTTTTCCTACTTCTGTATCTTATTTTCTCTATTTCATAACTGCTGCTCCCTGTATTTCCAAAGTAAATTCTTTGCACCCAGGTCCTTATCTCAGTGGGTTTGTTTTTTTGTTTTTTAATTGCGTGGGACGTGGTGTGGGAAATGGAAAACCCAAATAAGATACATGCCTATTTGCTAGTGGCTTTGTGCCAGAGGCCACATATAATGTCACCTAATGTGAATAAATCATGTTTTTGGATTAATTAGAGAAGTTACCTCAGAGGAGATTGAACCTCAAAGTCTTGTCCTTGGATAAACAGGTTTAACGTAAGCGGAGAGACAGCTTAATTTTCAGAATTTCCCATTCCGCCTTTATAACCAGTTATATTGATGAAAAGGTGCAATACTTAAAAAGGATGCAAGAATGAGCCAGTTAATTTTCTGAAACCTAAGATGACTACAGATTCAGTTTATTTCTTACTGCATTATTGACTTTGGTGTAAAAAAGCGTAACCCACAGTGCATTCCTAAGTCTGTGCTCCATGGCACTTCCCAGTTGATAAGTCTTATGAGTCTTTTTTTCCCCTTGAGTCTCTGTTAGGGTTTTATTTTTTTTAAGATGCCAGATATGATATTCATAATCACTGAGCAGTCACCCCACCAAAAGAGTTGAGAGGAGAACGTGGCAGATGGTGTCATGCAAATTTTATTGAAGAATCTCCCTCATAATGATGAAAGATACAGCAGTGAAATCCTGGCATGCATATGGGTGGCAGAAAGGATTTATGCCTGGTGTGTCTGGGCTCATAATAACTAATGTATCAACTTGTTTGAAAACTTTTCAATTAGGAGGATCAGCAGGACTTGTGAATGAATCATGAAGAGAAGACCTTTCACTTTCAGTAAATGAGGAGAAAATAACCATCAGCAGAAATAGCTGCATTTATTTCGGTGCCTAGGGTAAATGGCACTGTTCTAATGGCGATAAGGCCAAGGGTCTGGGTCTCTATATGGGCCAAGTCAGGTTGCCTGATTTCTTGGCCCTGACTGACCTACTCACTCTTTAGCAGTTATCACATGACTACATGGGTATAGTACAGCACTCCACAAACTACAAATTTAAATCTGACCTTGTCACTTGCCTGATGAAAATCATTCACTAGTTTCCCACTGCATGTAGCATAAAACATAAACTCCTGCCTTGGGCCTTAAGGCGCTGTATAGGTTGGCTTCTTTCCCATAGCTCTATTACCTCATTTTGAGGAACGCTCCCCTTTTCCCCTGTTTCAGCCAGACTGTCATCTGATAGGTCCAAGCTCTTGCCAAGCATTTTCATAATACTTAATATGCTGTATTAGTACAGCATAATAAGTTGTATTATTATTTTTAAAATGAGATAATATTTATAAAAACATATATTCCAAACTGCAAATACTGTACAATAATAATTATTATTGATTATATCATTAGCAGATCTGGAATCTTAGAAAGCAAGGTCTCTATAAAGCAATGGAATATTTAAAGGGCAAAAAGACTTTCCAAGTGAAGCATTCGTTAACTGAGAACATTCCTCATAGAAAGAGATATGTTTGTGCATTCACTAAAGCTTTCCGTATTTTTTGATCTACTTGGACATGGTCAGACTTTGCAAAGATCCCCAAAAGAACAATCCAATTTTGGTTTATGAGGAGTGTCTGCTATTTAAGGGTTTCGTTGCCGGAGTCCAACAAGCTATATTATTTAGTTAGTTTGCTTGCTTACTGCCTATCTCTCCCATGAAGACAGTGTGTATTTCCCCAGAGCTAGTACAGTGCCTGCTATCTAACAGTTATTCCACAAATATTTGGTGATTGGATAGTAGACAATGCAGAATGCATACTCTAGGGTTAGTGGACTAAAAGTATCATCTTTGGTACATAGGATGGAGTTTTAGACCTTCAGGAAGGCTTATGAGTTAGATTTGAAACTATCTTGAGACTTTCTACAAGCTTCAGATCTAAGCCTTTCAAGCATTAGTTGATGATTCTTGTGTTGATCCTGGCTAGAAAGCTACTGACTCTGTTTGGAAATTTGTGTTGACATGCTTGGGACAGTTGTAGTGTTAGACAGAAGTATTTTGACATTGATGGACAGCTCTTTGGCCATTGAATAGAGTTTTGAGATTCCCACTGGTGCAGTGGCCCACAGAATTTGGGCCACTTGAAAACTACATTTCTCACTCTTGCTCAGCTTTGAAATGTACCACTATTGCTAGAGTAATTTGTGACTGAGATCAACTGTTTTGAATGGATTGTACCAAGGTGGCACTTAGTATTCTGGATAGCACATTGTAGATATTCAATAGATGTTTAGTGAATGAAGGAAAGATTTCCATTTTCTATTATTAATCAGTATTATTGGGCAGTATTATGACTTTTAAGCCCTAGTTTGTCTTCTCCCACATTGGATGGGACTGACCCATGTAACCAGTAAGATGTTATGAAAGTGACAGAGTGTGACTTATGAGGCTATATCATAAAGTACATTGTGGCTTCTCTCTTGTTCTTTGTTGGATCATTCACTAAGGGGGAAGTCAGCTGCCATGTTGAGAGGATACTCAGGCAACCTGTGGAGAAGTGAGACTGAGGTCTCCTGCCGACATCCATGCATGTGAGCTGTCTTAGAAATGGATCCTCCAGCCCCAGTCAAGGCTTCGGATGACTGCTGCTCCAGTCAACTAAGCTGCTTCTAAATTTCTAATTCACAGGAATCATGAGGTAATAAATGTTTAGTATTTTAAGCTGTTAAATTTTGAGGTAATTTGTTATATGACAATAGGTAACAAATATACATAGGAATCAAAGCAATGACCCAAACAAAACTGCATTAGAAACCAGACCTTAATTTGTCTTCATCATTCTTTACTTGTTTTTCCATTGGTATCTTGGTGACCTTGCTGGGTACTAAAAAATGCTAATCTGGTGTCTACCATATTATTTGCCAGTGTTTTCCCCAATCTGTTATTTGTCTCTATTTCGGATTTGTTTGTTTGTTTTTTGTATTTGGAAGTGTGTTCATTTGATGGTGATGTAGTAAGTCCTTTTCCTTTTTTATTTTCCTTTATGTTTTTTAAGTTGCTTCTAATTGCCCTTTCCAAAGATTTAATAAATATTCAATTCCTTTTTAATGATTTGATTTTTTGTATATTTAAATCTTTAATACTCCTATAATTCATTCTGATGCATTAACCACTCTTTGGCTATAACCTTCTAGCCACTTCATTATATTTCCCCTTACATGGTACTAGGTATTGCATGGTAGAACTCAGAAGATTGCTAAAGTTATGATAGATTGCATATCCTTGTCTCCTTTATTTTTATGATCTGCTGCTTTGTTAAAGAAGAAAATTTACATTGGCCTATTCTATATTAAGTCATGCTGATTGGTATCTAATATGTTTCTGGCAAATTTCTTGCCACTTAAGTTTTAGATGGTTCTATTTTAGACTTTTTATAAGCAAAAAGGTCCACAGGTCTGCAACTTCATATGTCTTAGCTTATTCAGAAACTTTTAACTTATTTTCTGGCACGTGTAATATCACTTTGACCTTCTGTCTTCCTTTGGGTTTGTGCTTGATCTACTAGCTTGTTGCCAGAAATGTCAACAGTCAATTTTCATTTAATTAATATCCTTATCAGGGTTGACATTCTATCGCCCTTATTTATAAGTCTATTAGTAAATTCCCCAGCAGTGTTCTTAAGGAAGAAAAAAGACCCACCAATTCTGTTACTTTTCTTGAAGTTTCATTTAAGTTCAAAATAAAATACCCATTTTATTTTTAGTAGAAATTTTACTTGTGGCAAAGTCAGCTTATAATTTCTTTGGTTGGAACTTGACTCAGGAGTTCAGGAAGTCAGGTGACTGCGTTTTGAATTGTTTCCAAGCAGCTGCATTTGATCGCAACCTGGGTGGCTGCTGTTCTGGCGTTTCATCTCTACTGTATCAAACTGGGTTAGCGTTCATTGGTGGCTCTGCAGTGGAGACTTCTGACAAATCCTGTCATTTGCTTTCCCTAAAGTCAGACCCTTCTTTTAAACATGGTGAACCTTATATCTTTTGCTGGAAGATTTTAAACATGGTGAGCCTTATATCTTTTGCTGGAAGATTTTAAACATGGTGAACCTTATATCTTTTGCTGGAAGATTTTTAACTTGAAAAAAAGTTACTGCGGTGCTGTTATATTCCATTCTTGCCTTTATTGGCAAAGTACCCTAGTCACTGAGCAATATCAGCTAGTATTCTGATAATGCCTTTGAGTTGGGGGGAGAGTTGTTTCAAATGATTGTATACTTTTTCCTCCTATTAACATCTAGCATATCTTGTGCTTTAATCATTAAAGCAATGTTCTATGCCCTGTTTCATATCATCTCACAACTACCCTGTGACATTCACTCCCATGCTTAAAACTTTTCAATAGCCATTTTCATTGCCTTCTTTTAGTTCCTCAAACCATCTATGCTTTCTGCTACCACAGGGCCTTTGAACATAGTGCTTCCTATTGCTGGAATATACTTCCTCTTTCTCCCCCCTCCTTTCACCAAGATAACGACTACTCGTTCATCAAATACAAGTTGAAGTATCACTTGCTCAAGACTAGGTCAGGTACTTCTGTTATATGCTCTGAAATGATCATTGTTTGTCTTCTAATCCTTATCCACTTATTTGTATGATTATTTAATGTTCAACTCTCCTTCTAGACTACAAATTCCGTGAGAAGAAGGACTAGCTGCATCTGGTTTGGCCCAACATTGTATCCTCTACATCTAGTACCATGGCTGGCACACGTGGGCGCTCAGATATTTGTTGAATGAATGGTTTCCAAATTATACAGATGAGAACTGAGGCCTAGAAATCTTAACTAGCTTGATCAAGGTCCTACAGCAACCAAGTAACAGAACTAGGATTTGAACCTAGGTCTTTCATTTCCTAGTTTTGTGATCTTTCTATTAAACACAGTTGCTTTATGCTTCTAAGTTGACCCTTTAAAATTTATCTTCCATCTTAAAGTTTGTTTGGTTCCTTGGAAGTGGGTAGGGTAACTCAGATCCACACCTTGAGTGTGACTAGCCTCAAAATAGATGGTAGGTATATGTCAGCGTGCCTACGTATAAGGGTGGGAAAAGGGAAATGGAAATCATCCTTTTTAAAGAATCTTTCCCTTTTAATCTGTTACAGTTTCAGAGGAGTAAACTGAGCAGTGGGAGGTATTATGAAGAGACTCATCAGACGTGGGCTGTGAGGTCTAAAGCGTATTACACTCAGTCTAGATATGATTACATGTTTGTAGTCCTGCGTTGTCTTCTCATTAACTGTGAGATTTTGTGAAGGTCCCCTTTACCTCTCTGGAGTAAATTTCGTCTCTAAAAATGGCGTGTGTGTGTGTGTGTGTGTGTGTGTGTGTGTGTGTGTGTGTTTGTATGTAGGGAGTCATTATAGAATTATTGGCAGAAATTCTGACTGCATGTCACAAAAAGGCCTTGTTCCCTTTTTCCTCACATTTGTTGCTTAGTCAGCTAGAATGTGCTTGTTATTTGGGGATCTAAGATTGAAATGTATTCCATTATGTAACCCAGCTCTTCCAAAGGTTTGGGACCACTCCCACCTGTCTTTGAATTACAGCAGTTTTGTAGAGCTCATTGCAGGCCATTTCTAATAAGGGAGGATTGAATCCTGGAATGTTTATTTCCAGTTAGCATAATGAAATGTTACTGCTTGGAGGGACTTTGAGAGCCAGTAAATATAGCCACTTATTTTATAAATAAAGAAGCTGTGGTTTGGAGAGAGAAAATGGAGAGCTAGGATGCATAACTGAAGACTTTGAAATTTACATCCAGTATTCTTTTCAGTATACCAGGTGGCTTATTTTATTCCACCCTTTATTTTCAGTACACTTAAAGAGATTTAAAAATTATCTCTAATATAAGTAATATTTACACCTGGAAAAGTTAATGAAGTCTCGTTTTCTATCTTCCTTTTCTGATAGAAATATCCTTTCTCTGATTGTAAAAATAATATATGCTTATTGTAACAAAATTCAATCCATTCTGAAGTACACTAAGTAGAAAATGAGGATTCTCCATGATATCAAACCCCTAGAAACAATCACTGTTAACTTGTTAATTTGGTTCATGATTTTTAGGCTCTTCTTTCTCTCATACTCTTGTATATGTAATTACATCTATCTATCTATAAATATATCTCATTCGCTGTGATATATATGTACATATATATATGCTATATATATTTTTTCATACATTGATCTTGAGTATATACATTACATATTTATATACTCATTTATATATACATTTAAATTATATAAATGTGTATTTATATATAAACATATATATTTAAAAATTAGATTATGTTATACATACTGTTTGCATCCTATTTATTTTTCTGAGCAATATTTAAGGGACACATGGACATCTTCTCTTGTTAGTACATCTAATTTATTCTTTTTATTGGCTGGCTGGTAGTTCATTTTGTGACTGTACTTTACTTAAACAAGTCTCTCCTGTTGGATATTTATATTGTTTCCAGTCTTTCAGTATTTTACGAAATGCTGCAGTGAACATCCTTCTGCATGCATCTTTGCATATTTGTCTGTTTCTTCATAATAAATTTCTAGAAACCACACTTGACAGTAGTCATAGTATTTAGACACAAAATTGTATAAGTAAAGCAATATAGTTAGCTAATTCCTGTAGTAGGAAAGGAAGGAGATTTCAGACTGAGTGTGATTTCAGATACAAGGTCATTAAACACATGAATCTTTCCTTGGTCAAGCTTTGTGGTTTTGTAGTCACAGTTTTGTAGAATCAGCTCAGCACAGCAAATTCCAGTTCAGTGAATCCCGCAAGTTCTTTCTAGTTGCTCTGTAAATAGTTGCTTCACTTGGCTTGAGTTCACTGTAAATGGATTTAATCAGGATAAGGACGCCTAGAGTTTAGGTTATTCCGTCTAGCCCACAATAGTTATTTTCCCTTCAGCTGTTTAATGCAACTATCAGATGTTGGGAGGGAGTACCACTTATGTGTCAAACAGTGAGGTAAAGAGGAAAAATATTACTTCCCTGCTGAGAAATTGTGAGAAAACAAGCTCATGATGTCTCTGAATCTCTGAACTGACTTCTTGCCCAAGGGGATCACCAGGAAGAGAAGAGTCCCCTCTGGCTTGGGTTTTCTATTCCCTTTAGTTGCTTGAACTTTGCTCTCTCTATATCACCTGTGATATAGCCAGTGCTTTCATAAGGCATTTAGTAGCTTTCTGACACTCCAAGCCCTAACACAGCCGATGTGGCCATGTCTAAACTGAAGGATTATTTCTTCTTCAGCATGAATCTAGAAACTGAGGGGATATGAGAGGGAGGAGACCCATCAGAGGTCATCTGGTAGGGTGACCTCTTGCCTCTGGAATTCCTCTGACAAGAGCTCTGAGGGGTCATCATCTTTGAGTGGCTCCTCTTGGTCTTCAGAATAAAGTTTATATTCCTAGGCTAGTGCTTAAACCCTCTGATAGATGACCTTTCCATCCATATTCCCTAGCTTCCCCAAATATGCCCTGTACTCCAGTCAGTCTTCACCTTCTCCTCTCTGTCTTGGCTTATGCCATTTTCCCTGTCTGTTAATGCCATTCTTCTGGCTTAAATGTCATCACTTCCACAATATCTTCCTTCCTGAACTACTGTGACATTTAAACTGTACTTTTTTTGGTGACA